CTTCCTAAAATAACTTCTTGTTAATTATTGTTTTCTGTCACGTTTAGAATCAGTTAAATTCAAATTATATTTCATATATTTTCAAACGAAGCTTGAATGAATCGAATTCGACTTATTTTGCGGTCTTACGTAGAACTACTTGGTTGTATTATTATTACACAGGTTTATCGTATGTTTGTTATATATCTACTTCCTGAACAAATTTACATACTGAAACTCGTTATTGATCCTTTATTAACATCCTTCAGTATGATCTGTGCTCACCAGTGGAATAGGCACGCGTGCTTTCAATTTTCGTGTTTTGAATCAGTTTTTATAATTATACAGCGATATATAACGAAGCTGAGATAGTGTTGATAGATTAGGTTAATTAATTTTGGATCCCAAGCACAATTTACACTTTAACAAAGTTAAGAAATTCGATGCTTGGGAAGAAAGTAGCAAGACCTGTTGACGAATGTAAAAAAAAGATGGAACGGTTTGATTGTCGTCGTTTAAAAGAGAAAAACATGAAAATCAAACTCAGGTAAAGGTGAGTAAACAAATTTAAAGAAATTACTTAGATTATACTAATCTATTTTCACTAGTTTGGTTTGCATTACAATAGATCTTCACTACCGCAATTTTTGCAAAAGAAAAGTGACACAATTCAAAAAATATGATTTTCGTTGTAAAAATTTTGCAAAAATAATCTTTGATTAATTATAAAAATTTTAGTCATTGATTGTTTATAGTTTGGCTGGAATTATTTTGCTTCTCCTGATTCATGTAATGTTGTGTTCTATTTTATAAATACTTACTATGAATTGTCTTGACTCATCATTGTGAACAAATACGTTATATTGATAAAATGAGAAGCGTATTACTTTGAATTGCATTGTTTCTTTAATTAATAAAATAATATTTAATATTCTCCTACATGATTTTTCGGGTCATTTTCGTCGCGATATCATATATCTAAGATACTCCTATTGTAAATAATATTTCAATTACAAAATTAAATTATAATTAATTTATAATTAATAATATATTGTCGTGCAAATGTAAACTTTAAACATGTAAATAATCTCATAATATTATAAAATATATAAAATGTAATATCTCAGTAATTGTTTTTAAAATTACCTTAACTATTAACACCAACTTTTTCTTCTACACAGAATTGGATGAGATATATCAGAGTAATTGGTTTGTCTACAAGAATTTGCAATTTATACTTGAAACACTGGAAACTATATGTAAATTAATAGGGAAAAGGAAACAAATAGAAGTATTTCAAAATTCACAAAAATCTTCAAAAAGAAAACGACAAGAAGAAAACCATCAATTGGATACTGCTTCGTCGAATTCACCAATCGATGATGCATAACATTTTGGCAACTTACAATTAGAGGCTTCTAAATTAAGGACATTTTCTAAAACTACCCAGAGTATGATTCAAACTATAATTATGGATATATTTCTTAATGCTAATAAAGATTCCAACGATTAACTATTTTTATCCTAATAATTAACAAAACTCTTAGTTTATTTTACTATCCAATTTACTATCTTATTATATCATTTTCATTTGTTGAACGAAACTCAAATCCAGCGCCACAATCATTACCTGCTCGTTCTACTATCTTCATCGCTGGAATGATTTTTTTCTTTTTTTAAAAGATAATTTTATTTTACTGAAAAATTTAATATGTATACAGCAATCTAAGAAGTTATTAGTTTCATTTTTTTTTTTTTTTTGTAACTTCACGTTTGATTAACGTTTTTGCACAGTTGTATTTTTGGGAAATTAAAATAATTATTAATATATGTTAAGTTGCATAATTGTAAAATTTTAAATTGAATAAAAATTGTTTACTATATTTTCATATGGATTTACCTTAATTTTGCAAATGAAAATATATATTTTTCCTTCCTACGTATTAAACTCAATAAACCATAATTGCGATTGTAAATCTAAAGACACGGGATCGATCGTTTAAAACTTTTAAATAAAAATTGAAGGCTACTGAACGGAAATTTGACAAGAAACTAAGAGTGACAATTGTTGTTATACGGTTATAGTTAAAATCTAAAATTTATCTTTCTCTCCATACTTTATAGATCTGATTATATTAATTAAAAACCGGAATTCATTTGGAAAATGAATAAAATGGAATTTTTATATTGTCTGTTAACTGAAATTATGTCGCACTGAAAGTAAATATAAATATTTCTAAAATAAATGTAAATAAATAATATTTCTAAAATAAATGTAAATATTTTTAAAATAAATGTAAATAAATAATATTGCTAAAATAAATATAAATATTTCTAAAATAAATGTAAATAAATAATATTTCTAAAATAAATATAAATATTTCTAAAGTAAATGTAAATAAATAATATTTCTAAAATAAATGTAAATAAATAATATTTCTAAAATAAATGTAAATAAATAATATTTCTAAAATAGATATAAATATTTGTAAAGTAAATGTAAATGAATAATATTTCTAAAATAAATATAAATATTTCCTTTCGAATGTCGTCTTCATTATTATTTTCCTGATTTATTTTCTCTAATTTTTAGAGAATAACATAAATGTAACCACTTTTAAAACTTCTACATTCAAAGTTTAAAGACATTTAGTGTCGATTGCAGTTCGCTGAAATGTCCATACTCATGAACTGTTCGCCAACAACAGTGTGGATAAAGACTTTTATTCCTGGGCTCGTTGGAAGCTCGAACTACGCTCAAACAACTTATCTACACACAAGAAACTCAGTTTCTTGAAGACAATTGGAATGAAGTAGCGATGGAGAAATACAAGTATGAGTGATAGTAACTACAATAAATAAATAAATAGTAAATAAGTCCCATACGTCGTTACCACCAAATAAAGTAACGAGTGCTTGTAACGAGATTAAGTAACAAATGTGTATTTAGCTTTAAACATTCGGATTAAATTTTACTATTACAAAACGGAAGATTCGACTTCAAATTTCAGTTCGATTTAATTCAATCAGTTATTTTCTTTCTGAGAAGAATAAATACATGAACACATATTTAACTATAATAATAATAAAGCAAATTGGGCGCAATGTGAAGCTGAAGAGTAAAGCTAAAATTGAGAATAAAGGAATTTTCGAACGCAAACACGAGATCCGGTGTTGAAAGCGGCTCGTGTACGCGTGAATGTATTCGCGAGTGCAGCAGTTTCGAGGAATTCAAATAAGAATAGATCTAAAGAACATTTGTCTATAATTGTTACAATTGTTGGGAAAACCCATTGACACTTATAATAGCACAATCTAGTCAAGAAAGAAACATATGTTGAATGACGTGTCACAACAGGAGTTAATTGATCGTCAAATCCTCACAATTGGTGTCGAATATAATTATTACTGCAGATATTAGTTTTTACATCTGAAGTGTAAGAGATGTAAGAAAGCATTAGTAGGAAAATTATTTGACCAAGGTATTGATATTAAAAAGATATAAGGAAGAGAATTCTGACATTACACATATCGAATCAAGTTCCGAAATTGTAATCTATAGCTTGGTCTTATCGACTACAACGACTGTTACTATTATCATAATTGTTTCATACTTTCTCGCACATCTTCTATGCCATAATAGTCATTCGACAATACAATACAGGATGTCCATAAAGTCTCTTTAAAATTTCAAAAATTTATTACAAAGGCAAATGAAAAGACAGATAAGTGGAAATTATTAAAAAATGAGACGTATATATTTAAGTTATATATTTCTTTACCTTCATATGAGCATCATTATACTCGATTTCACGATCGATGTTTTTCTCAGATATTCTTGGTCGTCTACTCCTCCCTTTATCGAACACTGTCCCTGTCTCCATAAATTTCTTGTGTCATGCACGAATTGATGGACGTGACGGTGGATCTCTTCCATACTTAGTTCTGAAGTTTCGCTGAGTTTGCAGATCCAATTTAGTTTCAATGAACCACGATACAGACTGTGCCTTCTCTTGAGGAGTAGCCATTTTGTAAGGAGTTCATTTAACAGTATCTTATTCATCAACAGGGTACCTGAAATGCAATGTGATAAAAACCTTGAGATAATTACTGAGTATATAGAACAAAATCTGATGAAGAGTCTCATCAATTGCCTTTGTAATAAATTTTCGAAATTGTAAAGAGACTTTATTGCAAAAGTCACTGATTATTATTTGCACCAACTTCAACTTGCTCGTCGCGTGTACAGTATGTTCATAACTTGTGTGACCCACTTCAAGAGCTGATTGTACGCCTAAAAATAATGAAAAAAAGTCATATATAAATATATGTTCTATCTGTTTTCGTTTATGAGATATAATGAATTTTCTGTTTCAATTACTTTTACAAAACATGCTCGAAATGACCACCTTGCATTTGAAGACAAGCCTGCACTCGTCTTGTCACTCATCTGGTTACTCTCTCTATCATTCCTGGTGTTTCTCGAATTTGTCGGAAGTTTTGCTCTATTCTATTTCGTAGTATTTCAGCATGTTCAATCGATGTTGCGTGTACAATAGATTTTAAATGTCCCGACAAATGAAAATCTAATGGATTTAAATCCGGAGAACGGACAGGACCTCCACGACCAATCCATTTATTTGCAAAGTGTTGATTTAAAAATTGCCTAGCCACTCGGCTAAAATGCGGCGGAGCTCCATCATGCATAAACCGCATACGAAGTCAAATATCGACTGGAACTTCTTCTAATATTTCGTGTAAACGCGTGCTGTTAGTTTCCCATCAAGAGAAAAAGATCCAATTAAAAATTTATCAATTATTCCTGCCCATACGTTTAAACTAAACTGGTGTTGATGTCTTGAATGCACAATAACATGTAGGTTTTCTTCATCCCAATTATGATTATTATGAAAATTGAATGTACCATCCCTGGTAAAACTAGCTTACTTAGAGTTCGCTCGGTTTATAAAATTCATTATATCTCATAAACGAAGACAGATAGGACATATATTTATATGACTTTTTTCATTATTTTTAGGTGTACAATTAGCTCCGAAAGTGGGTCCCACAAGTTACGAAACACCCTGTATATCTCTTCTCGCAGTTGTGCCGCTCCTTCTAAACACATTAATCTTCAGAGTTGTGTTTGCCAATATCCTTTCTTAGCCTTGTACAATATTAGTTGTAAATGGTTCCCTTCGACCATCTTCGGTCTTTGTATCGTACCCAATTAGTAGTCTTCTCATCTATTGATACCTTCTGTCATAATGTTTATGACGCTTTGCAGCTTCTTTACCTGCGTACCCTAATCTTATGAGCCTACTGCACTTGTTTCATTGTCCATTTTATCGAGTACGTGCTTGATATTGTAGATGTTGAAGATTTTCGAGATGTAAAATATATATTCCTTGATCGCTTAAAATCTTCAGTGGACATGATCCTTCATTGGACATTTTACAATCGTGAATTTCGCACGAAAGTATTTATCATCTGCTATAACAAGCAGACATTAATTTTTTTCTTTACCTGTTTTATATCAAGCTTGCATTGCTTCTTTTCTGCACAATGTATGCAACTCAAACAGATTTTTTACTATCTATTTATTCAAGAAGCGATGCATATCGGCAAACCATTAATTCTTAAATCTAATAATTTTCTCCATACCTAAATGTCCGACGTTGTCGTGAATGTATTTGCAGAATGTATTGGGAATTATCCAAGCTTCTCTCTTGTCTTGGTATGATTTATTATTTTTCCTATTTTGTCGTGGATCGGCAGAGAATATTTCGGATTTGCAACAATTGCTCATCTTGAAGGTATGTCACGATAATCCAGCAGCCTTTGTAATGGCTACTATAAGGACGGTCGGCATATAGTTTTTTGGCTAAGTGCGTCTATCCTAACTCCCGGTAAATACTAGATTTCAAAGGTATATTTCTGCATGGCAATAAATTTTTCTTTGAACGATTTCAAATTGTATTCCTAGTAGGTAGCTAACGCTTCCGGGACCTTAAGTCATTTTAGAATTCATGGTCTGAAGCAAAAAAGAATTAATTTTACAAAAACTTTCATTGCAGAAGTTTATGTACTGTAGATAGTTGTAATATTTTGTATCTGTGGCTGTAAGGAAAAATGCCAAAATTTCAAAAAATTCATGTTTATGCATTAATTGAATTGTATTTACAGAAGAAATATGCTAATACAATTAATTTTTCTAATGCAGAATCTGCTGCTATGCGCTTTGTTCAATGATTCTCGCAATTGGGGTCTGATTATACGTTACCTCAAGAAATACAAAAAAGTTGTATAGAAAAGAATTGATTGAGGACTTTCTGTAGACTTATTTTTTTTTATAAACACAATAATGCATTTAGAAAATGCAGGTATAACATTTTTAAAAAGTGGAATTATAAATTTTTTTATAGATTGATCGATATTCTTTATAAAAATGTATTAATCTATGTATATCAAAAAATTATTAATTTAGGAGATATTTTAATTTTAAGTTCGTAAAGATGAGGAAGAAACTTTATAAATTTGAAATTCCTAAGTTAATAATTTTTCGACACACATAAGTTAATACATTATAAAGAATGTAGAGCTGTATTTACGATCAATGTATAAAGAAATATATGATTCTAAAAAAAAAGTAAAAAAAATTTGCATGTGCATTTTCTAAGTGCATCGTGTTTATAAAAAAAGTAAAGCTGCAAGAAAGTAGAGAGTAGAGCAGATTTCATGCTAATCAACTTTCATCTTTACTATATCACTTATCGTTCTTGATACTCTCAATTACCCAAACGACTCAGATTATGGTGCAATCAAGAAGTGATGCAAAAGTAAGTTGAATAAAAAAAAAAAGTAACATTTTCTTCATTTAAAATTCGTTATTGAATTGAGGAAACCGAGCAAATAAATCGTTAAGAGGGGAAAATTTTCTCTTGCAGATCCAGTTCAACCCAATTCGAAATTACTCAAATTCTAATACACGTGTCACTCTTTCTTTTCCACTTATTTTAGAGATATTCCATATAAAATATTTTTTTATTCTCACTTGTACAAAAATAGGAAACTTTTGCAAAAAGAATTACTAAGTGTACTTTTAAATTATTTGTAGTTACGAAATTAGAAAAGTACAAATTAAAAATTTAAGTCGTACATAATAGAAATGATTTAATATACAGGGTGAATAACTCGCTGTTAAATTCACTCTGTGAAAAACTGTTTCAGACAAATGATTTCAAGAAAGCTTTAACTTAATCATACTATATAAGCTTTCTTGTAGGTGAACGTATTCAAAACATGTTCACGAATAAATTCTATTTTTATGAATCTCCAGTGTATCTTGTTTTAGCATTAAAATATCGTGTGAAATGCATCGTTTCGATGCAACTTCCGTGTTTGATCGTTAACTTCCATGTGACTCAGGAATGGGGAGTGGACCATCATGCCAAATCATTTTTTTCCTTTCTGCCTCGTCATCTTCGCGCAGGATAGTGGTTTCTCCATACAAATGAAGCGGTCAAGAGATGGTATTCACCGGGGATGCCCCACTATCACTCGCAAGAATCCACAGGAAACGTTGGACTGACAGTACTTAGGTAGATACACGTGAACTATCAGTTGGTGAAGATCATACTCAAGTAGTTTATTGACAAGTTGGAGTCAGATTGTAATCAATCTCGCTCTGTCAACAATTATCGTTTGTGGATACAAGGAATCTTATAAACGACTGTGTGACATAACATTTTGTGAGATGAGGTGCATATAACAGCTCGCGAGTTCCTTCTGGATCGATTGATGAACGATGCGATATTGTTGAAATAATCTAAGGTGTTTCCTGTTCTTTTTTTTTCAGCGTTGAAGAAGTGTGACTTGTGAAATTGGTAGAATTAATATAACAATAGTTTGATGTGCTTGAAGTCAAGTCAAATTTCGTGCTTGGAATTCTTTTGGCAATTTAAATTTGTTGATGGCGAAGTTACTGTTACTTGGTGCTGCTAATTCAAGCAGAATTCAAGAAATGTATAAATAATCGACGATAGATGGGAAGATTGGTGAAATCTACGGGATGTTTGAAAAACACGAACTACATCTATAAAATATAATTTTGATAATTGAAGAATCTCGTTTGAGGTTTATTTTCATAAAAATATATCTGATAACTGTGTAGAATAATGGATTAATTGATGAATCTTTCTTTTTATTTATCGTCACTCACATTTCATATTTCCCTGTAAGAGAGTAACGAAATAAAGAGAAATATCATTCGATTCAGTGATCAGTGTATTTCTAGCTTCAAACAATATTTTTTTACATACACTTTTCTCATTGTCTCTTTCTTAACATTCTATGTAGTGGTTTAATGTTTAAGGAAGACAAATAAATTTAGTTTCGAAAGATTTGAAAAGTTGATAAACTCATGATTATAGCGTAGAGGAAAATCAATTGTGATTAGTTCCGCGGGTAAAATGACGATTCGAACCGGTTTTCCTCTGATTACGATAACGACGCATCAAACTGCGACTTTTGATCTTTGATAAAGCTTATCGTTTGCTGATGTATGTAAATATATTGCCGAATTTTTATTGCTTCAATAGTTTCAATTTCCTCGAATCTTTCCCAAGTTGGAGGAAACGCATCGAGCACAGTGTTAATAAAACAAAAGATGGCACGAAGACGTTCTCTTCTTGTTCAACCTAATTTTCTTCTGGGCTTTTTTCTTTAATTTTATTGTCTATTTTTTTCTTGTTTATTGTTCCATTATTTCTATTATTGAAAATCTCTTAAATTGCTTCCTTTATTTTTGTCAATTTCTTATGCTTAACTCTTCGCATTATTTGGATATATTTCTTTGTATAATTTGGATATATTTTTTTGTATAATCTGGATCGTTTAAGGATAATTTCACTTGTTAATTCTTTTTTCGAAACAAATATTTTCATTCTGAAATTTTTATTTCAAAGACTTGACTTAAAAACTAGTTTTTATCGTATAAGCATAACCGATCTCATTAAGCAATTCAAAATTTTTTCACATTTTTTGAAAGCCTAAAATAGTGAAAACGTTAGATAAAGAGATGAACGATTCATCTTTCCTATAGATAGTATTATACAATAATACGATAATATATGCTTACAAAAGTTTAAATCTGTAGACTGAATTTTAACAAACACAGAGAGATATATTTTAATCATGTTAAACAAATATTAATATTAATATTTATTTTACTATCATAATACACAATATTAATTCCATTAGACAATTATTAGTTCATTAATAGTTTTTATGTCACTATCATTAACTCAAATAAGATATGGAACTTTAATTACAAAAATAAATTTTAGTAATCTATTAATTTAATAATATATTTATGACATGTTGCAGAGTTTCAGGATGATCAGAGTCATCATCAAGGCTGTTTTGTTGCTACATCTTTTTCAATTGATAGCTGGCCAATCACCGTGTCCTAACTATTTTCAATATGTTAAGGATGAGGCTTCAAATAAACTTATCGGTTACATTGAAATACCATCACCGCCAAAAGGAGTTAACTTGCGATTAAGTGTCAGTTTAAGCGTTGCTGTCGCATTACCTTCGGTAAATGGATCTTTTACTCATGTTTGCAAATATTGTTTGATTTCGTTAAATAATCGAGACTTAATATACATAGGTATTCTAGAGTTTAACAGATAAACTTTATACTTTTTCAGTATTTTATGAGTATAGTATCAAGCAAAGAATGTTATTTATTATATGTGCATATTATATAAATTAATCAGTTAATTAATTATTATTCATTTAATTAATATATATATTATTTTTAATCAATTAATTTATTATTTTATTATTTTATTCAATTTATTTAATATAAATTACTTACCAATCGTTTACCAAAACATAATAAAAATACAAAAAGCAAAAAAAATAATACGATTGTCATCAACTTTTCATACCACTGAATTTTTGTATTTGTGGGCTTTATTAATGTGAATTTAAAGATAAAAGGGAAACCGAAATATGCTTTATAAATCGATAAATTCAATTTTTAATCGTTCATATTTTTAAATGGAGAGTTAATAGTTATGTTGATTATATAATTATGTAAATCTATTCTTACACTAATATAATGTTTTTTATTATTACTATAGAACATACTGATAAAATTTGTCTGCTGTTTCTTTTACCAGTCTGCATGTTTTTCTTTTTTTTGATCAAATTATATATTGTCTTAATTTCATTTTATCCTTATAAATTGTATAATAAGTACAGATTCAGAGAAAATATTTTTCGAGAACTAAGAATTTCAACCATTGTTACTTTAAATTTTTGAATATAAGTTACTGAAGTAATTTTTGAATATAAATTACTGAAGTAATTTTTGAATATAAATTACTGAAGTAATTTATCGTACGAACGACGTAATATACGCCGAAAATGAAGAAGTGTTTAATTTGGAACTGGTTTCAAAAATTAATTTCCGTTGCAGAAAACATTTGTAGTTAAAAATTCACTTAAATCTGCTTCAACAAATATATATGGCGTATTGCGATAATGAATAGTTAAGAGTGAATAGCTTTTCTGCCGAATAAAATATTCGTTACTTTGAAATTTACTTTTAAAGTAAAAATAAAATATACGTACATAATTGTAAGATTATATTATGTTAAATTTGAAGTTCGAGGTATCCTGGTTGTACAGCAATGTTAATGAACATTGAATCATTATTATCATATACTTCCTCATTTGCATTATTCGGAGTTTTATTTACAAATCTATCGAACATTTAATATTAACTCATTGAATTTTCCTAGATTTAAAAAAATTACACGAATATTATAACACTTAATATCACTTAATTAACACTTGTCGTTTTAAACAAAATATTTTTTTCTATTAAAATTAAAGTTTTTGCACCATTTTATAGGTATATTGAAAAAAAAATAGACACTACAAAAGCATTACATGTGTTTTAGAAATATGTTGGTCGATTAGAGTTAGCACGGTCGAAAGAGCAATCGATCAAGGCGGTTAATCGGGGCAGGCCGTTGACATATAAAGTCCATTTTCCTCTTCCCCGTCCGATACCATCCTTAACCGGGTTGTGGTTCAATGATCAACTCATCTGCTCTGGTCCACGTGGTATGTACATTTTTTCAAAGATAAAGCATGATACTTTTCATTTTCTTCAAGAATAATATTATGTAAATGATGCCACGAGATATTGTTAGTTTTCTTTTTTTTAATTGTTAGTCTAAAGTCTGAAAGATTTAATCATTTTAAATTATTTGCATTCATCGGCACTAAATGAATCTAACAGCTGATCAAATTATCATTTCGTGATAATTGGCGTGTATCTTTATACTGTAATAATTAAATTAATTTTGATTTATAAATACCAAGTTTCCTTTTTCAAATGAAGCATAGTTTCTCAGATAATTGACAGAGTTCGAATAATTTGATTTAATTAAAATGAACTGAAAAAGTTTAACAAATAACTGATTAATTATTTGTAACAATTACAGCAACTGGACCAATTGTCACCGCCATCATGTTGAACCACACGTTGTTCCCACCTCATGCTCTCAGTGTGGGAACACAACCAGCTACAGACACAAATCCAACTTCATCGATAATTGGTCGACCTGAATTTCCATTTATTTATTCACCCTTGGAAACAGAATTAAATGTGTCAAATGTTAGACCTGCGCCAGCAAACAACAATCGACAAAGTGATTTGACGTGTGGTCGAAGCAGTAACAAGATAAATCCTCTCATAGCTAATGGCGAAATCACGTATCGCGGCCAGTGGCCCTGGCTGGCAGCAATTTTTCTCGTCAAACTCGAGTTTGAGTTCCAATGCGCAGGGTCGTTAATCTCGAATAACCATGTCATCACAGGTTTGTGAATTTTTATGCAACTAAAAGCAAAGACAAAAAAAAGATAATCAGAATGGAAATTCATAGGATAACAATTTTTTTTTTTTAATCTAAAATGTTTTTGGTTGCAAATAACGATTACAGATTTTAAAAACAATTTCTTCGCTGCGAATAATAATTATTATCGACGAGAGAGAAATTCATTTCGATTACTTATAACAATTCTCGATAAGGGAAACATTCTTTCAGTTGCTTAGAATAATTATCGAGGAGAGAAATTTATTTCGATTCTCTTTCTTCGTTAATTTACATCAGAAAGTAATAACTTTAGGTTTTGAAAATATTTTAATGTGGTTGCGGAGGATTATGTTGGTTGAATGCATAATACTTTACACTTTTTTAAATAATTGAAATGGAGTTTTCGTCATCAATAACTTGTATAAGCAATCGAAATAAATTCTTTTTATCGATAACTATTATAAGCGACTGAAATAGAATTTTTATCGACAATGATTATCGACGATGAGGAACATTTTCACTTATTTGTGGTTGTTGTTTGCAACCAAAATGTTTAATTTTTTAATCATATTTTTGAAAAATTTTCTTTACATTATGAATATTAATATCATCGAGTTTCAGTTACTGATTATTTTCATAAAAATTTTTGTGACAACTTATTTTTGGCAAAAAAACAATTTTTTGAAATATTTAACTTCAAAATCTGTATATAATTTGATTTGTATATTATTGATAGGGTATATAAAAATTATATGTCACATAACGAATCGATTCTATCGACCAATTTCACTTAAAAAAAACATAGATGATCTTTGTCCTTCACGCATTCACTTGCACAAAAATAAATTACATCAAATCCTGTCCTCTTCGATGTTATTCAACTTTCGTTTGATACATTTTCTCATACAGCAATCAATTTTCGAATAACCCTAAATCGCAATATTATTAAATGCTCTATACTATTTAAAACATTTCATATCAGATATTTTAGTTTCTGTTTCATCGTTAATAACACACTATTTATTTTACATTTAATTATGAAATGTAATATATTATTAATAAAGATTATAGTTAATGAAATTTTAAGAAAGTTTTCCAAGAGAACGATTCAATTGTGACAGTTCCTTTTGACAAGTTTAGTCCTCGCAAAAAGTAGAATACGATGCGAACATAAAAAAATTTGATCTTGAAATTTAAGGTCAAGGTTAATTTTGCAACAACTCTTCTCGTTTCGAAGGTGTAGAACTGACATATAATTTTTATACATCCCGCCTTTATTTTAGACTTTACTTTGTTCAATAAGCTCTTAATTTCTTCCGTTTAATTTTTAAGAAAGATGAAAAATATATTAATGAGGGTATTAAAATAAAGAATTTATTATAAACGATGAAGAAAATGTATAAATTGCATTGCAAAGATAAAGCGATTACTTCAAAAAAATACTAAAAAATTTTACTTCTCACACCAGTGACTAAATTAATTTCTTCTCATTTCTTTTTCTTTCTTTTTTTGCACAGTCTACATTGCACACAGATTTTCCTCAGTAACCAACGAAACTTCATTGCCGAACATTGCGATATTATAGACACAATTTTTCTTTCAGCTGCGCATTGTTTTACATTAAATAATGTAAATCTTCCTCCTGGGACGTTTTTGGTATCCCTGGGACGTTATCGACTTCGGAACTGGAGAGAAAAGGGTTCAGTGAATCGAGAAGTAATCGACTACAAGCTTCATCCAGATTATGACGGGAGCGGCAATGCTGATTCAGATCTAGCCGTATTAGTATTGCGAGAGAGCGTAGAATACACTTCGACGATCAAGCCAATTTGTCTTTGGTCTGGATCTTCGCTTCTTTCGAACGTTGTAGGTAAAGTTGGCCATGTAGTAGGCTGGGGACGAGATGAAGAAGGAAATCGATACGTTCAAGAGCCTCGGCAGACCAATTCTCCGATCGTGGCCCAAGTAAGTCCGATTTTCAAGCGAAATTTTCATACAAGATTGATTACTTGTGAATAATCATAGATATAACGAATAAAACTTAATATCTATTATTATTATATATATTATTAATATATATATTAATATATATAATATAAACTTAATAATATGTTAGTTAATGAAGTTTTGTATTTCTTGAAATATTTAATTATTAACTTAATTTATATTAAGTTATTAATTAAATATTATGATACACTATATCATATAACGAAAAAACCCTTTACGTTATTCGTCTGGCTTCTTCGTCAAACATTAAAGTTTCAATTAATGATTGATGCATTCGAATTGTCATTTCGCCAAATGAAACATAAACCATGGAGAGATTTTAGTTATACTACTATAGTCATACTATAATATTTATAATTATATTATGCAGGGTGATTCCCGCAATTAGGACGGAGTTATATCTCAAGAATGTCAAGACGTACAGAAAAATAAAGAAAGTTGATCGGTATGAGAGGCTACTTTCCTGCAGGTTTATTTTTTTTTTTTTATAAGTTTTCACCTAGAAAATGCGAATGTTTTTTTTAAATGGAATTATATACTTTTCTTTGCATTAATTAGCTCGACATTTTCTATAAAAAAGTATTAACCTTTGCATGTATAAAAATTGTTAGTTTAGGAAATATTTCAATTTTAATTTTGTAAAATACAACAGACAGATATGACAGGCAAGGGCAGTATGAATACAAGAACATAGACAATAAATAGTTTACATAAACATAAAATTTTTTTCATGACAACTCAGCATGTATTGAAGATTGAAACCACTTTATAATCCCCTAAAACTTGCTCGCCAATTTATTGAATTTTATATATCAGGTGAAATGAAAATAAATATAACGATGAAAATAATACAATTTCTCGAAATTTTAGGGAGTAAAAGAAAAGCCTCAATCTTCAAACATATGCTAGAAAATCTTTCAGTGTTTTTACATGTTATGACAATTTATAATTATAACGTTGAGAAGAAAACTATCTTCACTTGCCTATTCGCATACATAATGTGATACAAAAAATTAATGACTGACCGTGGAGGCTTCAAACTCCACTTTATTTTCTGATATACAATGCATTAATCCTCAAATAGTATTGTTGAGTTAATATTATGTATTGGAAAATAATTCATGTCGGACCACATCAGATTAGGGTATTTGATTTTATTTATTTCATATTATGGATAGAGATTAATTATATAAAATTAATTAGATAAAATTATATAAAATTAAAAGTTTCAAAATTTCGTAATTTATTTTTGTATTATGTTTCTAATGGGATTTAATAATACTAGTTGAGAGATAAAATACTATTGGATAGTATATTATATATATATACACACACACACACGATTTTATCCAGTAGTATAGTATATTGGATAGTATATATATATATACCCTTGTAACGTACAACTTTACATATATATCAAAATTTACAAATATATTTTATATATAGACCTATATCCAACTTTTGGCTGATAGTGTATATTATAGAAAAGTATGAAAGAAAAAGAAGTTATGTGCAAATATCAAATATCATTAAATTTGTTAGATTATAAAAAGATTAATATATCTAATGCAGTAAGATTAAAAATAAAAATGCAATTTCAAACAATAGTTTGACATTGCATCCATAATTATTTAATAATCTTGTCTTTCATAATCAGAAATATAAAAATTTATTTGCTTTCTTTATGTTTTGAAACATCATTTTACTCACACTTTATTTACTTAATATATTTTTATACATACGTACCTTTTCTTTCTCTTGTATCATAAAATTCATTTTTATTCAGATTCCATAGATATAATATTTTAAATTCTATAGATACAATAATAAATTATCATATCTTTCCTCTGTTCACAATCATTAATGTTCGTATATAAATTCAAAGAGTTGCAAGTTGTAGGTAAATAACGATTCAATGAATAAATTACAGGAAGTTTGTCTTTGGAGCAACAGAAATTTTGTTGCATTCACTTCAAATCGGACGTTCTGCGCTGGTGAAAGAAACGGAAGTGGCCCTTGTAACGGCGACAGCGGAAGCGGTTTCGTGATCTACAATAACGAAACGGATCGTTATTATCTGCGAGGAGTTGTTTCGAGATCTCTTTTAGATAGTAATACTCTGTCTTGTGATTTAACGCAATTCGTCGTTTATGTGGACATTGCGCAACATTTAGACTGGATAGAGAGACAGATTTCTGTTTAAATTACTGGTGATCTGTAACCATAAGTTAGTTGGTCGATTAATTTTTACATATAAATTATTATTTTACTATATTGAACATTAAATACTTTACTTTCAATTTGTGGATTACCAAATCAATAGCGAATTAATAGATTGCTTTTCTTTCTATTTGGATTTTTTTAGACTTGTGTTATGGATTATAGATCTTGGTTTATTCGTACTGATGAATTATTTAAATAATGTGATTTGTAAATAGTGAAATTTAAACGTAATATTTTTGTACTTCTTATATTTGTACCATGTTTTATTACTCGTGTACTACCGGTCGTATCAGTATTTATGACATTGTATACAAATGTACAAAAATAGACGAGTTACCTGTAAGAATAGATAATACAGCGTAATTTAACTGTTTTATATCTTATCGCGCATAATATTTATTATTGACATATTTTTCGCTCTTGCAATTTGTAAGATAAATACGCAAATCGATTGTATTTTTCTTACGCATAAAGCTTGTATTTCATTTCTTTTTTCATAATCAGTTATATATAGTTTTATGCAATGTTGTAAATAGTTTTATAAATTTGTAAAGACTTATTCATCATATATTCTAGTTTTGATATTAAAGTATTCCATTGCAATATAAATGTTTGTACTTTTTTCCTACGATATTAATTGCACTTATTGTAAAATTATATGAATCGAGTATAAATAAATTTATATTTATAGGTAACAATGTACAAAAATCTTTTTAACTGATTATAGAACTAAGAATAACATAACGCGATTAGTAACACAACCAGAACACAATGATGCGTATTTCTATTTATTTTCAATTATACACTTTTACACATAAATCATTTCTTATTGTATAAAGATAGTGATAAGTGAAATATATAGAATGGAAGAAAATAAGTGTACAACGATACAAACTCGAATGATATGTATATATTGTATATACGACAAAACATGAGAAATATACGCGTATAAAGAGAGACAAAGACTGTCCTAGAAAAAATAACTACAAAATGCTAATTAAAACAATACTTCTTAATTATGAATGAACAATATATCCTTACTTCAAAAAACAGGACCATCAAATAATTTATATCGATATGCTATGTAAAATAAGCTATTTTCAAAAACGAAGCATGAAAGGAGAGGCTTTGGAATGTTTTCAGTGAAAATAGTTCCTTCTTTATCATAAAATTATGTTCTTTATTGTCCCATTGAAGAAGGTAAGCAAAAATTTTCATCTCCAAAATAGCTTACTAAGGATGTAGCAAGCCTGTATTAAGGATTAGAATGTAGCGCGTTAAAAATTGCACTGTACTTAAATTTGTTCACTTTGGAAGTATTGTCGTGCAACTGCTCCTAGTACGATTTCTGCACTGAACACACCTACAAATATTAAAGGAAAAAAAGGAAATTAGAGAATATTTTTCATATTACTCATACACATCTTCCAATATTTATTTAAAAAATTAACTAGAAACTATGAAAAACTACTTACTGATATTTACACGTAAAACGTCAGAAAGAAGATGAAGATCGTTTTCATGAGTGATGATGATATAAGTTAATTTATTACTATTCATTTCTTGAATCTGTGCAATAGATCTTCGTGTTTTCTCCATTGTTCCACCCGCGCTTTCAATTATTTCTGCAATTGCTGGTGGCGATGGTATTACACTTGGTGTAACATAAAATATTTTACCCTGTTCAATAAATAATTATGTATATATTCAATATAAATCTTAAACCATGATCATTTTATGAATTATCAATGTTAATTAAGATACATTATCAATAAATTAATGGCTGAGCCAATAAAAAAGTTACCTTAAGTACTGTTCCTCTATTGGGGCTTGCCAGTGCCTTCTCAATATTACAATTAAAATTTTTCTCGAATTCTGAATCTCCTAGCATATATCCACTTTCATCTAAAAATGTATTTCTCGCAGAACAATCAAGTAACCACTGCAACGTGACAATATATTTACAACGTGATAAGCAACATAACAATTTTACAGTCCTCCTTGGTGCCGTCATCACAAGATGAGTTGCGTCTCGCCAACTGGCTGCCAATGCACCACCTAATTCTCGGATTCTCTGTTGAGTGAATAATTAAAATTCAAATTAATAAATCAAGTAATAGTAATGATAATTCTTATTGTTATAAATGCAATACAACAATACAACAATAAACGAAAGAAAATGAAATAATTATTTCTCATTTTAAAAATTGTAAAATTTTGTTCTATTTATATCATATGTATCTAAATTAAAGAATTTTATACAAAATTTAAAATGAAACAACCATTTCTAGTATCAGTAAAGTACGAAATAATTAAACAGAATAATTGTCTTAATTAATATTTGAAATGAAATCATTTTGTGCTACATTTGAAAATGAATATTGTGTCACTGAATTTCAGTTACCTTTGCGTGCTTCCTAGGATTAATACCAGAGAACAATATTCTCGGTTGTTTATCCGGAGGCGGAGGATCTGGATTACTTACAATTATTGGTTCGTCTAAGCCCAACAAATGTGGATCTTTATTCAATAACGGACCATCTAATCGTGGTTTCTTATACTTTCTTATCGAATTTGGCCCCTGACCAACCTGCTTCACTTTATCGTATGATTCCTGAGTAATGTTTATTGGCATCTTCCATGCAGCTGAAAGAAATAATATTTTAACAGCAGCCAGATGATTGAATTTAGAAAGACTAAGAGAATACGTGAGTTATGATTTTCTTGGAAAAATATATAATTAAATGATAAAGATACCCATTAAGTGAGGCACTAGCGAATAATCCAATCTAAAGGGATTGCTCAGGCTATATTGTTGATATTTTGGATTTTCGGTTTGATGAAGCGCGTTCATTTGTCCACACAACAAGTCCGTCAACCATTGAGCATTTACCACTCCAGTTTGCCATTCTCGAGCTTTTTTATATTTTTGACCATCCGGTCTGAAATGATGTTTGTCGAATAAAAGGATATCGGTAGTAATCGATGAATGATTAATCATTATAAAACGTTGTTATACAAAGAGAGCAAAGGATGACTTGAAAGATACAAAAAAAAATAGATAGAAGTTTACATATGTACGTGTTTATCTTGCTTAATGTTATTTTCGAACTTTTAATTTCTATAAATTTTTTTTTATAGAAAATATAATTCATATAACTCAATCGATTATTTGAATCAAGAATTAAAACCTTCCCTAAAATTGAGATCGCTTGTATTGACAATGGGTAATAAAACATTACTACCTTCTGCAAACGAGAAGAGTGTTGTGCCTGGTGAAGTAATTGGTAACTTTAGCTCCTAATGCTTCCAACATATACTTCACCTTCGCTCGTTCCTCTCCTTCAAATCCAGATAATGATACAATTTGTTTTGCACATGGAAGCTCTGTCAAACTGAATGGTGTTGGAAAATGCAGTGCGTGCCAAGGTGGTACTACCTGCTGTTTACTGACTACATCCGATAGCCAGTGAGCACTGACACAACGTTTTCCTTCTCGTAAAGCCTGCACCACCGTTGGATGTTTCTGTGTTATCGCAAGTATGTGAGTAGCACGAGTACAGTATTGTGGTTCTACTTCTCCACCGTGTCTCTCGATTACTTGTTTCCATACGGAAACATCGTTCGGACGTTGCACGTCGTATTCGACAATAACAAAGATACAACCTAGCAAAAACAGATCTGGTGGTACTGGAAACAAACAACGGTTTCTTATTAGTAAAAAAAAGAAGCTCATAGATAAAAGAAAGAGAAATATGTATAAAAATTATATTCATTCATTCGTTCGTTAGATTCAATTAATTTTAATTGATTTCTTATTTTCCTGACTTAATTTCTTGATTTCCAAGAACTGTGAAAGAGTTTGTAATACGATTTTCAATGTAAGATCTCAAGATTTTTGTGAAATTTTAATGCAACATTTTTATGGGATTATATTCAAAATAGTTATTTTTGAAACAAATGAGATTAAATATATGTAATTGTATAGAATTTTAAAGTTCCTCATTTTAAAAATTTTTCAATCAAACAAAACATGTATAGTAGAACTTCTATATCCAAAGATATAAAATCAGCGATTATTTCTAAATCAGAGATCAATGTAACATTTTCAATTAAGCTAAGAATGTTAATAATAAAATGTTAATAATAAAAGTTTTAAAATACATTCGTATTTTAAACTTTAAAGATAATGTTTTCAATTAGTAATGTAATTTGCTAATTGATTATCCACAAATAGCGTTGAAACCAATCTTTCGTAGATATAGGTTCTACCATACATAAAAAATCACAGTTATAATAGTTTTTAAAAATCTGGAAGACTATACGTTTTAGATTTGGATTGTGACCATAAAACTGAGCTTTTGCTTGGGGCATCACTGGAGCATATTGCATCTTTATTGATGCACCGGGTGGCGCACCATTTGTGATGTTTCCAACAGTTCTTCGCTGATATGCTGCTAAGAGTTGTGGATCCTGAGATGGTGGTGGTGGTGGTCTATGTTGCGCGGTCATTAATCTCAATTGACCAGCTGCACTACCCTCAGCAGCACTACCTTGTAACCTACTTGTCAACATGTTTGCCAGTGCGGTTTTTGTCTTTGCATTAACGACTAATTGTTGATCTGGTGGTAGTTGGGTATTGTTTGACAACGGGGTTAAAGGAGGCTCTTGCTGCGGCGCGCCCTGTTGTTGCTGTTGCTGCTGCTGCTGCTGCTGCTGTTGTTGTTGTAGATGCTGCAGTTGTTGCAGTCTTGCCATTTGTTGCTGTTTTTGCATATGTAACTGTGCTATATGTTGAGGAGTTAAAGCTTGACCTTGTTGGAATGTTTGACCAGGTTGACCAGCCTGTGGACCTTGCACATTTTGACTGGCTTGCACGATCACTTGGTTGGAAGAATTAATTGGCGTTAAAGCTGGTGGTTGAACTCCGGAATGCACTGGTTTTTGACCAGGTGTTTGTGCAATTTGAGGTCCTATCATCTGAGGACGCTGTTGCTGGATCCACTGTAAACCACCAGGTTGAACTGGCTTTCCTGGACTTCTTATGACAGCGATATGCGCGCCTTGTTGTGCTTGACGATTTTGCATTTGCCTCTGTAGTAATAAATTTCTTTGTTTCTGTATTTTTTGGATAAATTGTGCCCTTTGCTGTGGGTCCATTTGTTGCAACTGTTGATGAGTTTGGGCATCCAATTGAATTAATTGCCTTGGTGGTTGTGGTGGTTGTTGACTCCATTGCCCACTTGGTCTCTGTGGGCCAATTTGCTGTTGTTGCTGTCTCTGCAGTTGTAAATGATACTGTTGCTGTTGCCACTGTGAATCTCTTTGTACAATGAAACTTTGTTGATTAGGACCCATTAATTGTTGATTCTGAGGTTGTTGTTGCAATTGACCATCTCTTATAACAAATTGTTGTGAACTTTGAGGCGCAGATTGTTGCAGCTGTTGAGAAATTTGTTGAATTTTTTGCTGCTGTTGTTGTTGTAATAATATAAGTTGACGTTGTTCAGATGTAAGTTGTTGTGGCGGAGCTTGTTGCTGATTCAATTGATGCTGTTGTGTTCCAATTTGTTGTTGAGCAGGAATCTGTTGTTGTAAAACTATTTGTTGCTGCTGTTGAGGTGTTAGTTGCACTTGTTGTTGTTGAACTAATTGCTGTTGAGGAGTAAGTTGCTGCTGCTGGGACAAATGTTGCTGTTGTTGGTTTATTTGTTGTTGCGAAAGAATTTGATGTTGGCTTAGTTGTTTTTGTTGTGTTAATAATTGCTGAGGTGATGACATTTGATGCTGAGGTAGTTGAGAATTGATTTGTTGTTGCTGTTGTTGCGACATCAATGGTTGCTGTGTAAGTGACTGCTGCTGTGTTCCTATCAGTTGTTGCTGTTGTTGAGCTGTTAATTGTGGAGGTTGCTGCTGGTTCAAAAGCTGTTGCTGTGTATATTGCTGTTGTTGTAATTGTTGATGTTGTGTAAGTTGTTGTTGATTTAATTGTTGTTGCTGTTGTAGTAATGTATGTTGCATATTCATTTGCTGTTGTTGCTGTTGTTGTGGCGATAATTCAGGTTGTTGTATTTGTGGTGGTACTGATTTCATTTGAGTAACATTATTTTGTTGAGAAGTTTGTGGCAACCAAGTAGTTTGTGTAACATTTTGATCAGAGACAGAAGGTGCAATTGTGGAAGCATTGGATAAACTTGTTGTTGGAATTGGTCGTGGAAGATGCTGCTGCTGTGGATTAACATTATTTTGTCCATTTGTTGTATATGGGATTGTTGTTACAGTTGCTGTAGCTGTATTTATGTTATGAGCAGTATTGGAAGATACTGGTGGACTTGGTTGATTCCAAGGCATCCGTTGTTTCAATTGCTCCAACATAGCTTTAGTTCTCTCTTGTTCTTCCTGCGCTGTATTATTTTCAGTATCTTCATCCATAAAGCCAGTAATCATGGCTGTAGAACTATTTGGGTATATTAAAAGTCTTGGATGATACTCTACTTCACTTATGATAGTTCCTTTTCTACAACATTCTGTTACCCAATCTGGAGTTACAATTTGAATAGGATGCCTCATTGCAGTTTCATACTTCAATCCAGCAGCCTTTCCAGTAATTAAGTGAGTACAATACCGATCTAAGCGTAATTGACATTTACCACCTTGAAGTGTGATCATTGCCCACAGACTTTTACTATCTGCGCGGCTTATCTGAGACATACATGCTCGTACATTTGAAAATAGCTGCGTATCTTCAGGAGAGAAGTAGTGAGACCTATATTAATGTCATCGATATGCAAATTAAGTTTTCATATATAAATTCATTATAATGTGTACTTTTTTCTTTCAGAAAATAAAAAAAATTGACTGTTAAACTAATTATTGTTAAATTACACTGATATTTAAAAATTAAAACTTCTAGGATAAACTACAAATTATATTAAAGGATACGGTAAGAGTTTATTGCATTTGACAGAATATAAAATCCAGTTCTGCGTAACTGCTGGAATTTCATAGATATCCTTTGCGGCAGATATATCATTCTCCAGTGCATCATAACCAGCTATTAAATGCGTAACAAAATCACTAAAATAATTTGATCTTTCAGCACCTCCCTCTTGTAGTAAATTTAAAATCTGGAACCAATTAAAACAACATTTGTTTTCACTTTCAAGATTCTTTTTACTTCATCTGTACAATCATTTATATAATGACTAATGCAATTTTAACTTCAAAATTAAAATATATGTAAAAGTATGTAAAAACGATGAAGTCAATTTCTAATTCCTCAAAATTATTAATTCAGCTTAACCATTAAATCTGAAATTGTATAAAAATAATTAAGCGCATTATTTACTTTACATTGAAGATTTTGGTAAATTTCAACTATGTTACTATGAAATAGGCATTTTACATTGAAAAATGTCATACAATTGATGCCTTTTAGAAGTCTCTTGTCTCATCTTTATTGCACTCAAGGAATGCAGTCTGTTAAATTTGACTCCATTTTATAACCTCTTTCGTATCAATTGCGATTACTCTAGACTAATCGCAGTCAGATCATAATCTTTAACAATTACAATATAATAATATCAATAATGTAAAATCAGTGACATTAGCAAAGGTAAAGGAAAAACGCGGGAAACGATGAAACGACATACTTTAGGATCACCTTCACCGCTGACGTAGTATTTAACATCGGCGAATAGGGCCCCGTCAAGCTTTAATTCCTCGAGACCGGCCCTTATGTCGCCCATCCTTGAGAAATTACAGACAAAATCACGTATTCCACATCACAACAAAACAACGCGTTTTCTGAAACGAGAGTTGAAGCACCCACAATATTTGATAACAAAACTCAGTCGCGACGCTTTTGTTATTATTATGATTTCAAGGTTATGTAGTTACTTCGAAGTCGAGCGATGTATATCGTATTCGATACATATCGAAAACTTCGAGTGCGCTCGATTTGAACATCGAAAATGTCAGTTGTAGCTAACATCGAAAGTGCAAAGTTTCCCGTTAAAAAGTTTGAAAATAAATTAAAATACGCGTGGAAAAAATTAAATACTGAGAACAGTTGACAATGAACAACTAGTGTGAATTGTACAGAAGAAACAAAATCTTTTGTTTCTGGCTCTTGTGTTGTACTTAATTTAAGTTTTAATCTCTGAGTTAATTACTATGACAATCTTTATGTTGATTAGTTTAATAATAAGATATTCTAAACTAATGTCTCCAAGTGGGAACTATTTTTAAATATTTTTGTGCACATAATGTTATTGAAAATTGTGATAATATATAGGATGTTCCAATTTAAACGACCAAACTATGAAGGCTTGATGAATACCTAAAAAGAAGAAAAAAATGTTACAAAGTTTGTCAAGAAAATGCCTTGTTACAATGTTATAAGCAAATATTGTATGTATGAAACAGGTAACTATGCATTTTTCTTTGCCATTTGATTTTTACTTATGGAGTAAAACAAAAGATTTATTCAATAGAAATAGCTTCACATAGAGAATAAAATAGAGAATAAAGTAGAGTTACAAATGTAATTTTATTGAGACTCAGAAAAATTTTCAAGAATTTTATAATGTTATGATACTTTATAATCACTATACAGAACTTTATAAATACTATATAGAATTTTATAGTATTATAGTTTTTATATTATTTGCCTATATCAAGCTTGATGGAAATAAAAATTATTTTTTGTCATATTATTATAATTAATGATATGAAATTGTTAGCAGATGAAAAAAAAACATATACTTAACGATACTGTCTATTGTAATGGAAAATGCATTGCTACTTATATATTTCATATATGCAATACTTGTTCATCATTTTGTAACAAAGCATTTAGTGTCGAATTTTATAGAATATTTTCTTTTTTTAAGTGTAGATTAAGTTTTTGTTTTCTTGTTTGGGTTACTTTGTATATAGTAGTGCATTTTGATTGGATTAAAGCAACTGATTCAAGGTATGTGATTATTATAAAATAATATAAACGAATTTCTAGAATTGTTATATTATGCAAAATTCAAACGGCCAAATTTTTGCAAAATATTGTACTCGATTTTATCGAATAACATTATATCAATATAATATTAGTATTTATTATTATAAATCGATTATATCAATATAATATTATACTCGTTTATAAGTACTTAATGTTACACTTTCTTTGTGCCATTAAAATAAATGTACTACTCGTTAATGTGAGTAAACGTCATTATCAGGCTGTACAAAAAACGCAAAGTTTGAAAACATTTGTTTACTTTATTGTATACTCTTTTCATTCGCATAGGAGGTACATATCAGCATCTAAAATGCTTTTCACCGTAATAGTTTGCCACAACCTTTCTTTCTTTTACGCAACCCTTCGTTTTGTTTCTGCCCTCTCTTTCTCTCTCTCTCTCTCTCTCTCTCTCTCTCCTTTTCTTTCACTCACACTTGTTCCCTCTCTTCCTCTCCTTTCCTTCATTTATGTTTCCCTGCTCTTTCTCTCATTCTTTCTCTCTTAATCATGCACACTATAATATAATCCTCTCTCTTTCTTTCTTTCTCTTTTTTTTTTGAGTCTCGTCATTCGCACTTTCCCTTGCATTCATAGATAAATAAATTATAAGCTAGTATGTACAAGTTTTCTTAATAGATTTCTTCTCCTTACTTAATTTAATAGTCATTTGTCACTTAACAGATTTATTTATCTTGTAAAGACTCTAGAAATATTGAGCTTGGTCTGGTCAGTATACGTCACATAATTCCCATTAACTTTTGTCGTTTCTTTAAAATTAAATTATACGTGTCTGTGTATACGTGTGTACGTGTATGCGTGTCGTCGAAATTTTTTATCTTCTTTTCTTCATTCGTTACATTTTAGCATATGAATATTTTCTTCTCTTTTTTTTTTCGTTTCTCATTTTAAATAACGAAAAAACGATCTTACAAATGGAGAGAGGGGTGGGCTGGATGAAAACGAAAGGCAAAAATTTGATTTTCTTGACAAAAGGGAAAATGAAAAATTATGCAATTAAACTAACAACAGAATTCTCAATTCTCGTGTTTCGAGATATGAAATTTAAATTATCCATTTAAAAATATGTATATATGTGTGTTCGTCTGTGTACGTGTATTTGTATGTATATGTATGCAAGTATATAGATATATCTCTTTCGTAACAACAGATTTATAATTTATCTTAGTATTTGTTATTTAACAATTATCTCGTGAAACGATATAGAGGTACATATTGCTCTGTAACAAAAGGAAAAGAAACATTCATAGTGATTCTTGGAGAATCGGTAACAAGTTCGTTTTATAATTTGTAATTGCTAAGGCAGACAATGAAAAGGATAATCGCGTAAATCCGACTTCGATCAACCTCTCTTACATGTTCGCCAAGTTTCGCCGTGAAACGAAAAAGATCTGACACGACATTGTTCGCAATTGATTATCGTCCGTTCGGTGTACACGATTACACATTTAAATAGGTGCTTAACGTTTTATAATTCTAAATATCTCAAGTATAATATCCTCTCAGGCACCTGTGATTATTTACAATACAACAACAATTATATAACACAATTTAAAATTTCAATTCTAAGTGTAAATTTCAATTCATTTATATTAAAAATAGAACGGAGCTTTTGCAATTTTCAATTTAATATTATTCCCTATTAAATTAAAAAAAAAAAAAAAAAAAAAATGGAGAATAAAATAAATTGTAAACTGGGAAAATGAAATATTAACATCGTGTCGAAAGTGAAATGAAACTTTTTACAGTTGAATGAAAAGTTACATACTGATAATCTTATACTGTTAATTCAACTTTAACAATTAAGGATTCTAGTCGCGATGAACCATTTCAAAAGATACGATTTACTTTCTACCAGTGTCGTTTCTTGCAATTAAGAGGATACCTATACTTAGCCACTTATTGTGCCTATCAGATAATAAAATAAGTCAATCAATTGTTTTCTATAATTTGCGCGTGGACAAGAAAAATTCTGTTGAAATTCTGTAGAAATCAGAGTACAATTTCAGGGAAAGAAGGGAAAGTTGAATTGTAGTCAGTAACGTGAAGATATCATCATCCAACTCTTAAAAATTAATTCATGTAATTGCACTTTGCATGCTGCTTTAAAATATCCATGAGCAAATCATTTCGTAGAAACGAAATTTTACTCCGTCTGATCATTTCTTTTCCTCTAAAATATATAGGTAAGTTAATTGCTAACAGTTAGAAGTTTAAAAATGAATAAAAGATTAATTCATTTTCTGATTCTTTAGAAAGGATAATTAGGCGAAGTTAATGTAAATTAATTGCGATTTGTACCATAGATGTGATATTTCGTGAAGTTGTTCACAAAGCTGCGAGGTCGTTTCGGAACTTTCAGCTTGTAGAACTGATTTCCGGGCACTGTGTAACCCTTTAATGTTCCTTTAAAGATCAACGTTAATTTCAAATTGGTGGCAAATTTTTCAAACACTTGTAAATAGTATCACTCCTCATCGAGCGATATTTGCGACTTAATCAACATTTGACGCAATACATCGTGAACATAATCTCGTTAACACGTTATGTGTTTCGATCATGATGTAGCACGTAAAATCCTTTAGTTACATTTTTTTAGTAGATATGAGTATCTAAATATAATTTCAAACTGCTATAAACCTCAATATTCGAATAAAAGATTTCCTTCCAGTTGTTCACTAGAGATACGAAAAAAGTGCAGCCAAATTCCATTTTTATTTCTCTCGGAACCACATCAATTTGTTTTGTTCAACTAAGATCGATGTAAAATCTTATTATCCTTCTGACTGAAACACCATTGTGTCGCCAAATGAAATGAAAAGTTTTTCAAAAGATAAGAGTCAAGAAGAAGAAGAAGAAGAAGAAGAAGAAGAAGAAGAAAAAAGGAATAATCGGTGCTAAAAAAGTTTGTGAGAAACAAACTTAAAGAATAACTTTCCAAACTATCGGATCTGCCGTGTGTCGTGTGTGGTATGTACGGGTGGGTGTGCACAGAGAGAGGGGATACGACTAGAACGCAATTATACTCGTAATGTCCAGAGGCTTTAGAAACACGCGCATGTCCTCCTCTTACGAAGGTCGCGTATATTGGCCCACGAATCTCGACGCGACAAAAGTCCAGGATCATAGGAAAGGAACGATCAATCCTCTAGATTTACAGAACAAGTTTTACATCATGGTCTCCCTACAACTGGTCATGCTATCGAAATCTAATTGTAAGTAAGGGCAATTGTTTTCGCAAAGGGCCGCGCTGCCTGTGGCAGCCGCTGGCCCGTTACACCAACCCTCAGGGTGTAAGGTGCTTGTAAGGTAACACAGTACATCTAAGATTTCGTTAATGCGCTAGGAGCCCGGGTTCGGGTCCTCGCTGCTCCTCCGCCTGGCCTCCAGTTCCTGGGCGAGCATAGCTATTTCCCAGTTATTATGCCCTTCTCGATGCACTTCACTCTCCTCGTCGTCGTCGCCATCGTTCTCACTGTCGCTTCTTCCTGGTCTATCGTCGAAGTCTTCCTCGGATCTACTGCTTTCGCTGTTCGAGTCGAGATCGATCGCCACTTCGTCTTTCCATAAATTTTGCGGAACGATTGAGCTAGGGAGTTCTTGAAGCTCTAACGTCTCTTCCTCGGAGTGTTCTTCCCAGGATCGTCGATTGTGAGAACTGGACTCTGTAGATATTGAGGAACGCTTGTAACGCGGATGAGTAGCTAGGACTGTGTCCACTGAACCGTCTCTCATGAATGGGTGATCCTCACGATCGTCGTCCAAATCTTCCTCCAAAGAGGCATCGTGCTCTGTGCTATCTCCCAATGAATCGTCTGCGTTTCTCGATTCTTTTTGTTCTAGCTCTAGTATCCTTGCTTGAAGCTGTGATATTATTTCGTCCCGTTTGCGGATTTCTAGCTCCAATGATGTAAACTGTCGCTCGAACTTTGTCTGAATGTCCTCCTGGAATTTTATTGATATACGCATGTTAGTTAGATGTACACATGGGAAATATAGGACAGGTATCGATTTTATTACAGATTAACTATGTGGCGGTATAATTTGTTGTTCTAGCTGACTTTGAGTACTAAATTACGTTATAAAATGATATTGTTATATAGTAACAATTTTATGTTATTGATAGTTATAAATTCTTATAATTTTTAATTTTTTATTTCAAAATGTTTTCCTTATGTTTTTATTCTTTATTTTTATTTTATTTTTATTCCCTATTATATTTTATGTTTTTATATATTTTGTTTGAATATTTGTTTACATTTTTGTAACGAAGCTTTTGCTGACAAATTTTACATAATTTTTTTTTTTTTGCCTGCAGATTAAATCTTTTCTGGCTATTTAAATTTGGAATACTCTATATTTCTTACTAAAAAATTCGGCTTGTATTTTTATAAACTTTAGATCATTTTTGCAACATACTTAAATGTATATATTAAATAGAGGTGAACCAAGTTATTACTCAACCCCAGGACTGGGGAGAAATAGTAAATATGATATAGTAAATAGAATGTAAATATTTTTATTTTCTCATGTATCTAATTAAATATGGAAATAGTATTGCGCAATAGGTATTTCATTAAAATATAGGAAAATAATATTTCATCAAATAGTAATATTTCACAGAATAATATTTAGAATAATGATATTGCAATTAAGTATATATACTATTAATATATATATAATATATATTATTATTACTATATATTATATATATTATAAATTTAATAATAATATATATTATATATATTAAATATATATATATACTATTAAATAAATATATATATACTATTAATTATATATAATATATTATATATTTATATATATTTTATATATTTTTAGTTTATATTTTACATACACGTGTCTCGTTTCTATTTTATATATATACGTATACACGTATCTCGTTTATATTTTCACCTTGGACGCAGACACTATATTACTTGTTCTTCTTCATCTCGTTCATTTTCTGTTTTTCCTAACTACCAATACACAATATTCACACATATTAACCTTGGTTGCTACGCTCGTCGACATTCATAATGTATCAACCTAACAGAATAGAAGATAGCGAGTGACAGTTGCGAAATATGTTTAGTTTTCAAATTTGTATGTCTTATTTTCAATTCTACTATTTTCGATATTTGAATCCGAGTGAAAGTAGTAAATAGTATTTTCTCGTGATTTAAACATTTAATGAAATAGTATTTCATTTAAGCATTAAATAGTATTTACTTATGCAAATATTTCAATGTTTACTATTTTATATCAAATTATTTCAAATTTTCCCCAGCCCTGCTATAATTCCTCAGGAATGAGCTCATTATTATGTGCATTATCGTTTTCAATACGACAAATATTTAGATTTGTATAAAACTGATAGTTTCACGTGATATAGCATTGACATAATATTATAAATGTAATATATTATATTTATAAATAATATTATAACATATCCATATAATATATTATATTTATAAATAATATTATAACATATCCATATAATATATTATATTTATAAATAATATTATAATATATTCATGCGAAAATAATGATGCATGGGTGTCGTTGGTTAAACACTGTATGCTAGTATGCTAATGAGCAATATATTTGTAAATAGGGAATAGCATGCAAACTGAACAAGGTTATAAGCCGTCGCGATGTAAAGTTCTTGCCAATTGTGCGAGAAGCCTACACCAGAATGGTTCTGAAGTCGGCAACTTTGAAGTCAATATCTCTAAGGGAAATTACAGGAAATTAACTAGGGAATCTTGTAGAACTACTCCGGGAAATATCCTTCTCATGAACAATATTTATTCTCGTTAATTTTACAAACGAATTCACAAGCTATCGATTTTTCGTGCTAAAGTTAAAAGAGCTAAAGTTAAACTTTCGATTGTACAAAAACTCGAAGTGTTAAACTTTGAGTCATTTAATCCTTATGAATAAAAGAAGTACTCAATTCTTTGAAAAAATGTTTGACTTGATTTTTGTTGTTAATAAAGCTTTTTGTAATAAAGTAAGGAATATATATATTGTACATGTTCACTTACAGCTTTGCTTTTCATTTCTTATCAGTATGTTATTATTATTTTTATTATTAGTTACTTTTATAAGCAATTAGCTTTATAATTAACCAGACTCAATTTAATTACACTTGATCATATTAGACTATATTGTTGCAGATTATATCAATTTTACTATTTTATTTTCTCCAATTGCATTGCTTTTTTTCTAGGCAATTTGTCAATTTTTTTTGATAATTCAATCCATGTTATTTCAACATGTCCCAGTTCTTCTTATTTTGCTCAACAAATTTCTTCTTTTATATTAAAAATTTCTTCTTTTATACTGTTCTTTATCTCTAAGCCAGGATTTTATTTTTCCCTAAATAGTTTGCTATGTATAAAGTGTAAAGCTTAATTTGAACTGCTATTGACAAACTGCGCGGCGTAACGAGGGAAGAAATATAAAAATTAGCCACTCACCAGACGGTCCTTAACGACTTCTCTGATACCAGTGACTAGCTCCCCCAAGTATTCCTCTTCTCCTGGCCGAGATACCATTTGCAGGATACCTCCGCTGCCCAAAGGACGGAAACTGAGTTTATTGGGCGGTGGCAGTGAGGCCTGCTCTTGGGAGTCGGACAATTGTGGCCCAAGCGGGTAATTTGCCGGGAATTGCTCAGACGGCGGGCTCTGCAGCGTATATTTATTAAATGTCACGCTTTTCGAGAGTTTCGAATGTCGCGCCGCATAACCCTCTATCGTCGGTGCTCTCATCAATTTCCTCAATTCAGCGGTGGCCGCTTCGCGATCCGGTGTGCTCGTCGCGGAGGTCTCGGAGCTTCCGGTTCTACTGCCGGCCGACAGTTTCTTCAGTATGCTCTTCAGGTTCCGCCTTTCTAGCGTCTCGTTCTCCGGTGAAAGTTGATCCGTGGGCGACATCGATGCCATTCGATTCTGGGAAACAAACAAAAATCAGATATTTGACATTGTTCATGATAATAACATTGATTTAATATAAAGGCTATAATTTATCAGTAAGGCCTATAATTTAATTACACGTTTCTTATTCTTCTTCTTCTTCTTCTTCTTCTTCTCATTTGTGAATTGAGTTTTTTGATAACGAGAAGAAAATATTGTTCTATTTTGTTCTATTTGATCGTGTTGCATTAATATTGTGAGTTGTAAATTCGAGTTTGAATTTTATTTTGTATTTTATTATGTAGACATTTCGAAAGAATTGTAAATGGGGTCGGTTGTCTCATTATTTTTAACGTATATTAGTCCAGTAGAGAAATAATGCTTTACATATTGTTGAGGAACAATGAAGAATAAAAAATACATGGGATATTATTTTATCAAATCTCGAGAAATAATTATATTTAATTGTAATTTCAATTTTTCCAAACATATGAAATTCTACTATATTATTATTATAATAAATGAAGTTCCTTTAAACAGAATTTGATATCACGCTAACGCAACATTTGTCTCACCCAATATACTACCAACTATAATGGATAACCCTTAATTTCCATGCCTCGGAATATTAGATATGATATATTGTCATAACTTCGCTATCTTACTTGGTTGAATCTTATAATCATTGAACTTATTATTTTGAATTTAAATATTTTATTCAAATATTTCGCAAAAGAATTTATACAAGATCTGTCGTAAGCTTGCATCAATGCAGAAAATGATTATTTAAAATTTCTTAATGATCCCTACTAGGGATAGACAAATTAAACACGAACGATATCACATATTATCAAATTTTTTTGAATTCGTTGTTGCGCACATATTCACGTTACGTTCAATATTTATCTATAACTCTGTAACAAAGCGTTTACGAACAAATTTTAAATGACATTCTTCGATTGTAAATTATGCTCTCAAAATTTTGCCAGTAGAGCATAAAACACCTTGTATATATATTTTTTATTTCATCAAAATTAATTTGTTGTTATTGAGACAAGAATAAAAAGGAGAAAAATTGTGATGAAAAGATTTCTTTTTCACGAAGGTGTTGAATCTGAAGGATTTTGATTCGAATCGCGCTATTATTGAATAGACCCATGTAAGCAGGATGAAGCGAATAAATCACGTGCAATACTGAATGGCTGAACTTCCACGCGCACATTTGAATATATCAAAGTTTCCGATGTCTAGGAACTAGTATTGACTATTAGTCAGCTAAATACCGCAACAATACCCGGATACAATACAATGAGATCTAAATTGGCGACGATTGGATTCATACCTTGGATCGATGTTATACGTTTCACTAGCAATAAACATTTGAACGTTGTATCTTTATTTCAACACTAGATTAGGATTTCTTTCTAACACGCTACTGTGTACGTTACACTTTGCACATGAAACTATAAGCCAGCCGCTTTGGTACTTCGACGTTGATCCTCACAGTTTATTAACATACTAAAACATTATTAACATTCGAAAAAAATACTTTCGACTCACTTGGTTTAATTTCTCCAATTTCCTAGCATATTCGATCGCGCAAGCCTCCGAGTGGCTTCTCGTCAAGTTCCCATCGAACTCGAGCTCGGTGTCTCCGCAGTCTAAACTAGAACTCCTAACTGCTTTCTCAAGTTCCGCCAACTTCTGCCTCTCGTTAAGTATCTTCAGTTTCTTGACGAATGGTAAACCGCAATACTCCGGCGAAAGATCGTCCACGGACGCGTACATCTTAGTCTGCTGTCTCAGGTGTACTAAACTCTGTCTGAGTTGTAACCTCCTCGTCGGTGGACTTCTTTGCGGCGAGTTTTCTTTGTTCGTTAACGAGGCGTCCTTCAGCATGGCCCATGGTTTCTTCACGTTCGAACCGTTCGTGTTCTCCGTGTTCGAGGTTGTCGGCGATTTGACGGTCTGTTCTACGGTAGTTTGGATCGACGGTTGTTTCTGAAGCTGCTTGCGAGTCTGCTTGGGCGATTGTTGCTGCGATTCCTCCGGTATACTGTTTTTTGGAAGCAAAGGCTCCTTGGTGGGTGCCTCTTTATCAGCCTCCTTGGACTCTTGCTCGTTCTTCGCCTTTAGCAGTAATATTCTCTGAAGAAACGGTAAATTCGGATTCATAGGGTTCATTTGGGCATCCGGCGGTGGTTGCTGTGGTTCAGGCGTGTGCACTTGCGTTTCCATAAGATTTCGACGTTCTTCTCGTTCCTCTTTCTCCTTTAACAATCGTAATCTGGCAAGCAGAGGCAAACCGGCGCCCAAAGGCGAGACTGGTGGTTCTTGAACGTTCGACGCGGATGCGTCTTGACCGTCGTCCACTTTTTGCTGTCTCTTCAGCATCGGTAGCTTCGACGTTAATGGTTGCAGCTCTAGGCTTTCCTCGGGTCTGGTATTTCGTCTGCTCTTTCTCAATGCGTTCTTGAGACCCTTCACGTCACTCTTCAGTTTGTCAACGATTCTTTTGCCCGTGCTGTTGTCCGACGAGTCGTGACCAGGTGACGTTGGTTGTCTAGATGCTCTGGCTACCTTCTGCGCCTCCATCAGACGTTTCCTCCCGAGATTCTGGAGGATTTCTTGAGCTTCTGGATAGTCTTTCATTGCTGCTAAAACATCCTCGCGGGAGAGGCTGAATAATTCCGAATAGCCTACCGAACGAACATCGGCTGTGCGTCTGTAATTGAGAATGTGTTCGTTAGATGGGTCGAAATCTAATCTTCTTAATTTGAAATTTCGATGGCTTGAAAGCTGAGGTGTGTTACATTTCAAATTGAGGTAGAATTAAAATAAGTAAGATCACGAAAGATTTTTACCAATAATATACAACGAAGAGCATGATTCAACCAATAACGGCGAAGAATTGTCGATAATTTGAATATATATTGAATTGATATAACTTCGTAAAGAAAAATCTGAGTTCGCTCTTTTCAAAGATTATTTTGTGCATCGTTACAAATGGGAAAGTGAGAGTACTTTTCTCTCGGAAATTGTAAAAATTCAAACTTCTCTGTAAAAACTTCAAAAAATTTTTAATACTTTTAATTTTCAATACATTGTTGTTTTGTTAATAAAGAAATAAAGCTCAATGAACTTAATTTTATTATTAACAATATGAATTTTATGCTTTTATTGCAATATTTTAATTTTTTTTCAAAAGTGAGACATTTTTTTGTATTTTGTATTATTCAATTTTGTATTACTTTGTAATATTAGAATATTATAATAAATTTCGTGTACATGTATCAATTATTTCGCACTAGTTTCACAGTGGTTTTATTTCATTTTAAATTCACTATATTATTAGTTTTTTTAATTGAATTAATTTCTGGATTATGTTTCTACTGCGATACAATCAAATGCAATTAGATGTAAATTAATTTTGTAAATTGAACGTGAAAAAATTAAAATTAAAAATTAATTTTTGTAAATTAATTTAGATGTAAATCAATTATTCGATAAAAGAGCGACTTTCTGTGGATTATATGTTAGTATCTCCAAAATAATTAGCACTAATTTTAACTTTAACTTTTCTTTAAAGGAAGACAATTATACGGATATTTTTAATTAACTTTTCTTTGAAGGAAGACAATTATATGGATATTTATAATAATACGTTTATAGCTGTGTTATTCATTTAGTGTGAGATAAATGTATTTCTAACATAATTGTTCGGTTGTTGAATACATAAGTATATAAAATACATAGGTATATGAAATTGTTAAATCGAAACGAGAAATGAAATTTGAGATAACTATGTTTCGGAAATTCTGAACGATGAAACAAGAAAGTAGGACGAGTTATATTATGTGTCAGGGTTAGAGAGCGAGAAAAATACGAAGCTGACAGGATTTATCGATTGTAGTTTCGGCTATTGCAGCATTTTCATTATAGCTACTTTAGCTTTCATCGTATAAATTTTTCACAATTTATTTATCAAATCGCAATTTAGGTTAAATTTTTGAAATGTACAGTACGATTATTTAGTGGAAGATGAAGTAGCAAATCAAAAGTATAAAGTTTTTTTAAAACTTTCAGCAGATACCTACGAATATTGTTTTGATTTACACAAATATTTATTTTATATTATCGAATTAAATTCAATTAATATGTTGACCATACAATATTACTAAACTAATTTCGTTTTATTTTAAAATATGTCAAAATAGTAATATCACAATGTTGTGAGAGATTTAATTAAGTAATTTCTAATATGAAGATTTATTTGATATAATTTACTTAATTAAATGTCTCTCAATATAATTGCTATTGATACAACATATATCTTACGTATCCCACAGATATATTCTATTACTAACAATTTTATTGTAATTGGATGTATATTCCATTACATCTAACAACTTTATTGCAATTGTTTCAAAAGTATGTTTCAGAAGACTGATGTTATATTTCATGAAGTAGTGTTCAAAATTAGAGTACATGAAAGCAGAACAAAAGTTAGAAATAGGACAGCAAGCACTTTACATTACTTACTTGTTTAATCCGTCTAGATTAAGAATTCCAATTTCTCCAAAGAAGTCCCCGGCTTTCATAGTTGTTAAAACTCTTCCTGTTTCGCTGATCACTTCTAAAATTCCGTCGGCTATTATGAACATTTCTCTAGCTACTTCCCCTTTTCGACATATCGAATCACCAGGTGTAAATATATAAGCCTTCATTTTCAGCACCAGATCGTGTAAAAATTCGGGTTGACATTCCTATAAACATAGACAAAGATAAATTGTGAATCAATTTGCTCAGACATTAATTAATAAATAATGCAAATTAAATACTGAACTTGAACATTTTGATCAATAAAGTTGTAATTATTGGTTAATGTTAATCCTTCCAGCAATATGGCTATCTCACATATTTGAGGATCAAATAAAATACAAAACAAAGACATATTATACATAGATAACTATTTATGCATTTATTTATTTTATATTATCATTTCTTTAAATCTTGAACTTTAAGTTTAGTTAGATGTTAACATTATTTTATTTACTCATCTTGGGAAGGAAATGGTATTTAACAGAAACGTGATATATATATATATATATATAATGTTACAAAAAAATTTATATATATCATATAATAATATAATAAGATATATATATATATTTTTTTTTTTGTAAGATATTTCGTTTTCGAGTTTGAAAATTTATAAAGTACACATATACCATGGCAGTTTTTAATAAAACATATTCAAAGTTTTATTTGTTTGAAAATGAAGCTTTAAATAAAAAAAATTCATTCTAGATTTCTGATTTATTTTTGCACGTAGAATCACCTTTCTTGTCAGGACTAGAATTTATAATTATAATTATATTATAATAAAATAAATATAGTTATAATTATTAATAAAATAAATATCTCGTAGATATACAATGTTTTTGTATGTTCTTAAACATAAATCAATAATTGTAAACGAAAAAAAAAAAATAAACGAAAAAAAATTCTTCATTTAATACAGTTCTTTTTAGCAATACTTCCTTGTTTTCTTTCAACAATATAAATTTCTATTCGTTCTTATGCATTTTTTCGTCATAAATTTTATATTTCACAATTCAATAATGCATAAACGCAAATTTTTTTAAAATTTAACTAAAGTTTTTAAAGCACAACTACAGAAATATGTGAGACACAATTTTACACGATACAAAAAGTGCAAGATGAACAGCACATTTCTATATTCTTCCAATCACTTAATAAACTTTTATCCAGACTTCGTTTCTTCATTTGCATTTTATAGTTTATTTCTATTCGAGTTGACCAGAGATTCACACTGTTTACAATTTCCTGTACCGAGCGATTTCTTCTTGCGTAATCGATTTACAATAGACTTCGTTAAAATACGATCAATGAAATCACGAACAAGTACCACCGCGTGTGGATAATGACATAAATACACAGTATGATATGGTAATAAAAAGACATTAAAGGTTTGATATTGCTAGCTTCATTGAGACAAACGGCGGCGGTGATTAAAACTCACATAAATGTGCCAATTACAGAGGACAGTAATGATGGGTTGTAAAAAATTGTTCTCTTCTGTCTGCGAACGGTTTACCTGCGAATTGCGCCTCTGTGAGCGTTACAGTTGTAGTGGGATTTTCATTATACAGATATGACGTGTTTTTATCATAGAATCGTGGACAATAAAAGATCAAATATCAATCGATTTCTGAAACTTAAATTAATTATTGTCCCTTTGCGAGAATTGAATATCGTTCGAGTGATTTCGTATAAATATTTTTTTAAAATAGTTATTTAAACATATTTTTTTTAGTCAAATGCTTCTTCAGTTTGATAGTTATTCATTAGTGGCGAATAAAACTTCACTTTTTATTTTTATTTCTTATCCGTTATCTGAATAAAATTTTGTAAAATACTGAATAAACATAATATATTAAGAATTGGCGTAATTCTTTTGCAAATATACATAAATAATATTTACAAATTTGTCATTTTCTTTCTCCTTAAATTTTTGTACAAAATTTTTTTTATGTTTTCGCATTGTATGCATTTTCAAAACTTACGACTTCAATATATGTACATGTTAGAATTTCGAAAGAAATAATACTCAACTAAATAATATAATAATGTGATTCTTTCACATATACTTGAATTGTAATTAATTATATTTAAAAATAAAAGTTGTGATCATATTACTCTTTGTGTACATATTTACATCATCGATATATAGATGTTTATACATGAAATACATGAAAAAGAGAGTCTCTTGTACAAATTAATTACAATATTATAATAACTAAACCATTTGTACAATAACTAAAATACTAAGCCTGTTTGTCACTGTTACTGTTAGGATGTTGTTAATAATTTTAGTAGTCACTGTGTTAAATCTAAATCCATGTAACACAAAAGTTTCTGCATTGTCTTTTGTTATTTTCTATTATTTATAATTGTTATATTAAATCCTATTAGGCTTCTTTCTATTTGTATGTTATATTTTTATTTTTAATTATGTTTTTTCTTATTTTTAGTTTTGTGCATTTTTATTCTTATATAATACTATTGCATTCAAGATTAACACATGAATAAATTCAATTAAATTATTTTTAATTATGTTATTTTCTTATTTTTAGTTTTGTGCATTTTTATTCTTATATAATACTATTGCATTCAAGATTAACACATGAATAAATTCAATTAAATTATTTTTAATTATGTTATTTTCTTATTTTTAGTTTTGTGCATTTTTATTCTTATATAATACTATTGCATTCAAGATTAACACATGAATAAATTCAATTAAATTATTTATTTCTCAGAAAATCTGTTTCACTTAGAATGAAAAGCAAAGGATATTTCAGAATTTTGAGAGTGAAAACAACAGAGAATTTAAAATATTCACATATCCTGAAATGAAAGTAATTTTATATTTCATGAATAAACAATTATTTCTTATCGCAGTGGAAGATGCTTTTTAAGAATATTGTTCAGATTGTTGTTTAGTTGTTTAAATTGTTCTACAACTTTTAAAATTATCTTTCTATTATTTTTGACATTTTACATTTCGCGACATTACTTTGAACATTTTGAATTATATGAATGTTTGTCAATTACTCATTCACTGGAAGAAGAGTAAGAGAACTGTTTAATTTTATCTATTTAATTTTCAAGGTCAGATGATAGAATATCTTCACGCTTATTAGCTGATATGATCGCATACGCAAAGTGACTGAAATTAGCAACCCTCTTATTGATTCCTTGAAGACGACCTTGCGGTTTCTGCTTTCGCATAGGATGATATTGAGACGAAGGGTTCTTGTGAATATTAACGGATGCTTGTTGTCGTTAAACGTATACAGAGACGTATTCATGCATAGTGCAGGCTCATTAAACATAGATATAACATAAATATATTGGACAGGTAAAACCGTGACGTAATTCATTCGGATATTGTGACCTTTCGCTTTTTCTATTCTGAATTTTCATGCTATTCCTCGCTCTTGTTTCTTCGTTTCTTCTTTGAAAATTTTTGTATATTACAAATATTACAAACATTATAATTATTCCAAATATCGTATCTTAAGGTTGTTTAAACCTTTGCTCTTTGAAAGTTTTCATGGCATGATCGATCGTTATCTCCATCATTCTTCTCGGAGAAAATTTTGTTGAAATTGAGGATTTTCTCTTGAAAGGAGAAAGATTATGAATATTTATAAAAGTTCTCTTTTTTTTCAAATATTTGTCAATATATAATAAAAAACATATAAAAAAATAGAAGAAAAACAATTTTAGCATCGCACCGATGGACATCAATAAAATACAAAATGTCAAAACAGGAATTTCTGATAATATATATATTTGATAATATATCTTAAAATCTTGGTCAATTGTGTTTTCGGTATCCTTCAATTTAAAAAAGGCAAAAGCTTAATGTATTTCTCTTTGAAATATCCTTAATTGCATGCTATTCATTCAACGTTTCTTTCATCGGCGTTCAAATGTCAAGTGTCGCAGTACGAGCGTGAGTTACTTCATCGTAAAGATTTCCACTCATAATTTTTATCCGCTCGAACGAACAATGTCGAGAACAAATCTTAAGTGGGATATTGAGCCAACTTCTTTTTTATATCTGTCCCTTTCTTCTCCTTTCTTCGGCCCTGTCCTAGGTGGTACGAAATGGCCGCCAGATGATGGAAATTCTTCGGATATTATTTTGATGATCCCGCTCGATGCTTCCTCCCCTTCCCTTAAGATTTCAAATTTTCTCCTTGAGGCTCATCTCGTGACATTTCGCTGTTTCAACATCGCGTCCAGACAGGCGAACCCACATTCGTGACAAACTGGCGCAGCATTTGCAGCGGATGTACTCGAGCATCGGAAGAAATTGTCCTCGGCGCTGGCCTTATGGTGCCAGACGCTTCTACTGTCAGCTGTTTGTTAAATCTGGGACGATTCGTAACGTTGTGTATTCGCGAACTATGTCACCTGTCTCGAATGAAATTATTCAATTGTTGTCTAAAGAAATGTCTGAGGAAGTTTTGAAGAATATCAAAGCTATATCATCTGTTCAATGAAGATGCTGTTCAAAATAATATTCAAACACTACATCGAACATTGTTCTAATGATGTCTGATATATCAAATCACGGTTTGGTTCCTCAGTTGCTCTTTTGAATTGATTGGCATCGAATAAGCTTGCTAAATAAATGAATTTTTTCTTTTCCTTTTTTCGTGATTTTCTCTAAATTGAAGCAAAAACAAAGCAAATCTTTAAAGGACTTTTTTTTTCTTAGTTTACCGATTTTCTACAAATTCACAAAGTCTTGACATTGAATTCGGGACACTGTATAATTTAATACATAATTACATCTTGGCAGAATAAATTATGTGACTTTGACGGCTTAATTATTCTCTAAAGAGATATTTGAAGAAATTGTAGAATTATTTTCTTTTTTCTATATTTTGTATTTCTTATTAATTACAGTAGCTTCAACACTTAAGTAAATGTTCTATGAATTTACGATGTATTATGTAAAACATATATTTGATTCTATTGTCAATCTAATGAAACTCAATTATCATGACTGACAAGATGGAAATATTAAGTAAAAATTGCTCTATAAATATTAAATATTTTTACTTATAAGAAATATATATATTCAATTTTATAAAATCTATGCATGAAAAACAAAAACAAAATGAATACAAGAGCACTGCTCTTGTCCTTCCTCATTTCTCAT